TCGCTTGATAAGCTCTTTCAATAGTATTTTCAGTAATAATATTCAATAGCACTGTTCTTCAAAAGGGCTAAACGTATGAAATTAGACTTGTTGGTAATGCGTAAGTGTTCACGTTATGCGAATATTTGAGGCAGGACAAGGAGAGGGGTGCAGACAAGTGCTCGTCTTAATCCCTTCTCTTCTCATAGGTATAAAGGTAGCGTGAAGTATAGTATCAAGGTTATTAATGGATTCAGAATGCCAAAATTCTACGAGCGATGACACGAGCTCTTTGTTTTCCGTTTGATTCAAATCAAATAGTCGCATTCAAAAAGCATTTGAATGATCAGTGAAACGCGTGATTAATAAATCAAGCTTAAACTTTCACTATGAATTTCCTCAGGCACGCCTCGGATTTCAGGCACAAAATAACTCACGGAAGTTCTAAGAACAATCCTTAGTGCGCCGTATTCTTTATATTATCCCATATAGTTTCAATACAGATAGAGGGGTGCAAAAGTTTTCTTGAAGTAGATAAATGTTGAAAGTCCTCCTTAGGAGGGTTAGGTATTAGCCTTTCATTACGTGAGCAGTTATACAATATTATCCATGGGCTGAGGCTGGGATTGCCTATATACGTCCCAAGATATTTCTTTGAACGGAAAGCATGTCTATCGCTTAGTAATTTTGGTTTTCTTTGTATGAATGGCATTTATACTATACATCCAATGCGTTCCACAAGAATGCTGGGAGGTTTTCGCTGGCCTGCTGTACCTAACCATGTAGATCATGTTTACATCGCCTTGACTAAACTCAACGAGTTCATAAAAAGGGTTCAATAAGTCCGCAGTTGCGACGCGCGGCAATTTTCGTACGCTTTCAAGAATACTAGGAACATTTATCTCAGCTGAAAGCCGCCTAACCTTTACGTTTTAAACAAAGCTGATGCCTCATTATCTGCTACATCAAGGTTCGGGTTGGTGTTCTTGAATAGCAGGGCTGAGGAACATGGGCTGCAAACGAGCCCACTGAAGAACGAACCGTAAAAAAGAAAAACAAAACAAGCAAAAGCTTTTAAAGTAGCCACATGCCCACGGCCTTAGAACGTAAATATAGTGAACTATTAGTGATGCTTTCTGGCAGGAAATAAGTATCTTTTGCAAAAAGGGGTGATATTCAACGAAAAAGCAATGAAAAATGGGTAGCGCATGTGCGTAGAAGATGAACAAAAGGCATAGCGCGTGATCACGAGAGTTCGCGAGAAAGCTTGTGCAAAACTGCAACGGTACGCCAACGTGACAAGCCGGGACATAGCTGATTTGTCTCTAGACATGCATTGTATATACTTTTTTGCGTTTAAAGGCAATTTACGTAGCTTTAGCACTTCTGGCTTCCCAATCAACAATAGGTGCTGTTCTGAAACTTTTTCAACTTACTATTCTACATCACAGAGCACCCATTATTCATTATAAAAAGAAAAAAAAAAGACATGCGAAGTATGTCCCTCTATTTTTTATAGAAACAAGCGTTGCATGGGAGGGGGGCAATGCGAGAAAAGAATTGTTTGAACCTGTGCACTGTGGTGTTCTTGTGCTCCTTCGACTCGGTCCACCCGTCGTGATATATATAAGCTGGCGCACAGTTGCAAATTTCACTTTTCTGTGGGCCGTCAGAAAGTAGACGCCAAGAAAACCACAGCCATGAAGGCCTTCATTGCAATCACGCTCTTGTCTGCAGGTAAGATACTTCGCTTCTAAGCAGCCTTGTGTTATCATATGCTGCATCAGTTATAGAGCCTATCTAGGAACCTCAGTTCTAACGTATGAGACACTTGGTCTGGCTTTATAGCTTCACTGCGCACATTGCACAAACAAGAGAAAAGCTCAACATTTTTCAAACATCATAATTCGCATCGTCAACAAAATATTTTGAGTCTCCCTCACTCTTCCTATGCCAGTTGTTCACTCAGAGCGGCGCAAGTACGGTGGAACACAGAACATACCTGTTTGCGTAGGTTGCAAATGTTTTGCTTGCATATGTTTAGCAGAGCTACAGTTATGGTATAAGCCTTCGTATTGATTTACGCATTAGTAACCCGCACCTACTCGAGTCTTTAAGGTTTCTCTAAATATTTAAGTTGAACTATATGTGTGTTCTTGCACACTTATAAACAGTGTGCTTACAACATCGTCCTCTTGGAGGTACCACGAGCTCCTGAACATGAATATTTCATGTATATGAGGACTGTGAGACAAAGCGTCACATGTATTTTTGGTAATAAACAATTTGGAATCGCAAGCGCTGAAACAAATTTTCCTTTTAGTGTCTTTGTGTGGGAAGGTGAAACTGAGCCCAATTTGAAAGGAACAGATAGTCAGGAGCCAAACTTACGTTGTTAGTGAATATACTGCTTCTTTTTGCTGCCGATGAGGATAGCGTTTGTTGTAATATAATTACATTTCCTTCGATTATAACCTAGCTAGCATTGCGAACGGCCTTAGATATTTATAGTTTTTTCAGGAAACAGCCACTGACGATGCCCTCTGAACGAGAGTGTGTTTCTAGATTGGATGGAAGCAGCAAGTTTAGCTTTGCATTTCTAAGTTAATCTTTTATATAATTGAAGCAGCTTAATGATTCAAATACCATGAAGTACATTTACGTACTAATGTATGCACGTGCATGACGTAACCGAAAAAGCATGGATTCAACTTTTAGCTCAAGGCAGCGAAATTTTTCGTTGCTTATGGTACACAATGATCCATTAAACTGACGGTAAAAATAGTGAAAAATATACAAAAACGCAAATAGCAGAAAGAAGACAATCAGCTAAACTGAATTTGTCGAGTAATCTGCGCAGTTTTCTGCGTTACCAAGAAATTTGAATACAGAAATATACACATCAACCAGTGACTGAAAAATCCCACTACTACGGTGCTTCTAATAATTCTTTAGTTTGTACGCTCCTGTACCACGCTACTGTTAAGGAGGAGGTTGTGGTGGAAGGCTCCAGCTATTGCTATCACTAGGAGTTTTTAAAATTGAACTAAATAATAATACACGCTCCTCCATATAGACAGACGCTTTTGACAAGGCTACTGTTTCTTTATTTCTACAAAAAAGACCATGCAAATTAAGTTTAGGCAACATAACTTGCTTTAAAATCATAGTTTCTGTTGTGGTACAGAGTTTCGACGCTGTGAATATGTGTATAGTCTATCAAATACATATAACCTTTATCAAATTACAATGTTATTTCTCATAAAAAGACACTGCAAGCATGTTAGAAAGAATTAAATATAAAAACAAGAACTCACCACGTATTCCAGCTCGGCGCTTAGCCATGCCATCATTACAACTTAGGGATTGAGCGCGGCTACACAACAATCTTTGTAGACTAAAAGAACAAGCTAAATAAGCAATACCTTTCTTGTCAATTCAGATATTCATAACGCACTTTCTAAAGAAGACAACAATCATCATCGTAAGTTGGCACACATGCAAAAGTTCAAGGAAAAATATCTTTGTTCATTTGTTTATTAGTTTAGGACGTCTAAAGGCCATCCGAACTTGCCAGCCAACAGGGCGAACATTGCCCAGCAATAAGCCCTGTTGAGCATTCAATGTCAGAGATGTTACGTTGTTTATTTCTGCTCCGAACACTTCAGGGTTTGAGTCTGTCCCTGTTGCTGCTGTCAGCCAGGTACCGCAGTACCGACTGATCAGTAACATTGCTTCCGAAACGAGTGGCATGATTACCATCACAAGCTTTGTACTCATTTATGTGCTTCGCAAGACGGACGCATTGAAGTACCTTCTTGCTTAGCCAAGTGAACTGGAATAACAAAGCGCTATTTATATGTCTATCTACCAACTGACCGTCGTTCAAGCTTACGCAGAACAATGTCAAGAGCACGTCTGGTATTCAAATCGGCTAGAAATATGCACATTCAATCATCCCTGTGCTGCAGTGGTCACCATGGCGTTATGCACCGAATGCTGCCGTGTGTTTAACTTACAGGGTAGAAATACTAGGGCAATTCAGAAATCACGCCGAAAGTAAGCGGGTAGGCTTAATTAAAAAAAACGTTCTCGTTTTTAGCGTGCGCAGGATGTAGCTTCAGCGTTCATCTGTCTCCGCCGTGTTTTAGCTTCCTGTGCACTCGCTAGAGTCGGCATCACGGAAAAGAGGTTTCAATCGCAGGAATAACCTCTGAAGTACTCTTGTACATGAAGAATACCAAAGAATTTTGGCGGTGATCGCTTGGTGTGGCAATGAACTCCGATGCAGAAGTAGTTTGAAGAGGAAAAAAAGAGTAAATTAAGTGCAGTATGTTCCAAGAAATGATTCGTACGATGAAGTATTCCGCAAAGTAATGCATTTTCGCGCAGGTTTGTTACAACTGTACTGAATTGGGCAAGCCAAAATAATTAAGTATTAGGACAAGCGATGCATGCCTGAGTGAACTCAAATTCTGGCAACATTGCTAAATATATTTGACAAAACCTGCTGTCATAGTTAAGGCATGCAAGAGCATCTCGAAAAAGTAGTGTTCCTCGAAGAACAATAGTCGTAGCATAGTTGAATATAGCTAGATGAATGCTATTTTCTTCAAATGATGTGCTATTACCAAAATGCTGCAACAAAATGTATATCTTGGGAACATTTATTTATGTTGCACAAAATAACATTCCTTTGTAGAGGTCAAGCCAAATGCCTTGAAATTTTTCACAACAGTGAAGAAGGGGAATGTTTTGAGATTATCTCTCACATGGATTCCAGAAGCCAGAGAGCTCCAAATATTCATTTTTTTATTTTTCTTAAACTGCAGCGTCTTTGGCTTATGGCGCGGCTGTAAAGGTCGACCTTAGCTCCCCAAGCGCCAGCACTGGTCTGGGTTCTGGACTCAGCTTGGGTGGCGGACTTGGTAGAGGATTAGCTAGCGGACTTGGCCGTGCCGGTGGACTTGCAAGCGCTGGCGTATTTGGAAGCAGTGTCCGGTGGAGCCCGCCCTAGTTTTGCTCTCAGCGGTGCTGGAAGCGCATTTGGCCCGGGAAGTGCTTCATTTGCTCCATCAAGGCAGGGTCTTAGTGGAGCTGTAGGATCCAGTGGCTCAAGTTCTGTGCGTCAAGGTGCCGCCGGTTTCTATGGACCTGGCTTCACAGGAGGCTACGGCATGTACGGCACCTTCGGTGGTTACGGCGGTTACTACCCTGCACCTTACGGCTTCGGTGATGAATACGGATTCGGTGGCTTCGGCGACTTCTATGGTTCCTGGCCAAGCCACGGATACTACGGATATGGTCCTGGTTCTTATTATGGCTACCCCGGTTATGGCTACGGCTGGGGTTTTGGCACCGGTTCCAGCGCGGGTCAGCGTGTCCAGCAACAAGTCCGTCGTGCCGGGGCTGGTAGCTCGAGTGCCGCCAGGAGTGCTTCTGCCTCATCTTCCAGGTGCGAAGGCGACCGTCAGCTGGATTTCTATAATTTATGCAAACTTTAACTTAATTTTGGTTTCATTATGACAACTGTCCGGAGACAGGTGGAAATTCATAGGCCGTGGGTGTTCTACAAAACGAGGGGACAACACTCATGTACTGAAGAAGAACGCTTGCAGCAGCACCATGTAGAGAAGTAGGCTAGTTGTGAGCGTAGAAAGCTTACCCCATTAGATATGCAAAAAAGCGGCGTCGAGATATGCCGGACGTTTTACGCATCATACATAGCAGTTGTGGCCCAGCAATGAGAAATCATGAGCTTCGTTGCATGACATTGTAAATTCTTATTTCGTAATCTTTTTAAGTCCACCCCACTATAGCATTTGATGAAGTAGATGCAAATGATCAGGCAATAGGCATTTGAGAGCGTGCAACACGATCTCGGTGAATGGTCTTGGCAAAAAAAAAAAATGAAGTGACTCGTAGCCGGTGGCGTAAAACGTGCACACGTTTTGCATGCTGCTTACACTGCCAATTAACAAATAACGTATCAGTAGTTGTAATTGGCTCTTCACTTATAACGTGTATTCGCTGCTATTTATGGACTATCTTCTACAGCCTGCAAGTCTTTTATGAAAAAAAAAGACATTTTTGAACCAGCGCGAAAAAAAAGTGACATGGATACAAAGGAGACACAAGACATAAGTGCTCCGTCCGGCAATTTCAGGCGCTGATTTCGGAAGTGCATGCTCTTCAACTATCGCAACTAGCTTTTTCATCGCGGAATGATAATTAACAATCTTCCTATGACATATCATTACACATAAACTTCAAAGAGAGGCTGTGAATAATTGTTCTACAGCTGAAGATCTATTAAAAATTAGGTATTATTGGAAGCGAATATGATCAGGCCGTGCATTGCATGATACTTGCACCCACCCGCATAAAAGGGGACCTTACTTAGCTACATGAGGTGACGTGCTAAAGTGCTTACGAACATTCACATTTCCTGCCTAATACTTATGTCGCAATAAAGTCTCAACATGCCATCGTTCATTTTTGCAAACGCTATCGAAAAGGTATTCATGCATTAAGAATTTCAGCTTGTGACTACAGTAACCCCATAGTTATCATGACTCTAAATACTGCCGTGTTGATGCCCATTCGAAATTATGGAAATCACATAACGTGGTTTCATTTCTTTTTATGCAAGTATACATATGTATTTGGCGCGAATCGCATTAGGAACGGTAAAAATTGCAAAAAAGTCGGACAGTCTGCATTCACATACTACGGCTTTTTTTTACACCAATAGTCGGCATAAGTGCGCACCCTTTCTCCTTGGAAAATGTGCCTGCACTCTCCTTTTGAAGGTTCAGTTTCTTAGCTTTTTCGTTTTCTGCCGACATGTTGTGTTTCTTCAACGTTCTGCTTTTCAGCACAACTTATGCACTTGAAACTAAGCGTCGTTTGAGTATAACTAATAATGCAAAACTGTTGCACAGCTTTTTTTATAAAACTTTACTGAATCGTTTCTTGATGTTTACACGTTTTTTTTTCGTCTCCTTTTTCGTCCTCATCCACCAGTTCCAGCAGCCAGTAATCAGGGAAGTATATCACAACTTGGGACTTCACACCAAAGGTGAGAAAGCACTACAGGATTCACCTTGTCCAAACTGCTTCGTCGTGTTTTTGAAAGTCAAACATTCCCTGCAAACTAACTACGAAAGCTTAGGATGTACAGTAAAAATTCGACCTAACAAACTCGATTTTACGGATTTCCGGCTATCGAGACAAAACTTTCTCTTCCTTGCCGAGTACTATAATGTTAAATGTTGTTTTCCAGTCGAATTAACGAAGGCACATTGGTAAGACACCCCCTTTAAGTAAGCCGTCTCGCAAATATGTTAGCAAAAAAGGAAATTATATATATATATATATATATATATATATATATATATATATATATATATATATATATATATATGCGCCATTACATTTAAATGACGACGTGAATAATTTCTTCCTGGAAATGCTCGCGCAGGGACACTTCAGTGATTACTTTCGTTATTATTTGATCATCTAAGTGACAGCTAAACACGGTCATCTCCTTGCAGTGTTCTCGATTGGCCTACTCACACGATCAGTCTCCTTTCTGTCCGCATTTACATATTGTTAGCTACTCAGCTTCAGGTGACCACTGTCTCGACTGTGTGACAGGGCTAACAGAGGCTCCATAGCCCAGCTTTTCGCACCGGCTCTTCCCAAGCACATGCCTGTATTGGTAACAAATTATTTATTTATTTATTTATTTAATACATACTGCAGACCACAGTTGTGGTCCTGGCAGGACGAGCACTTGAATAGCACAATAATACAAAAATAGCAAAAGGGACAAAAAATTAAACGGCGGACATTGCATTGTCAATCCAACACACAATTAACAACACTAACAAAAAATGGGGCTATACGGTATCTAATAAGTATGGCTCAGCATTGGAATTCCATTCAGCCACGGTACGCGGGAAAAATGAAAATTTAAAAGTATCGGTATGCGCTCGGTATGGTGTTAGCGATCTAGGGTTATGGTGCCGCGTGTGTTTTGTGGTCAGGGCGGATATATACAGGGAGGGGTCGATAGCCAATTCATGTTTAGTAAGTGAGCAGAGGAAATCGAGACGAAATTTTTGTCTTCTTAACTGAAGCTTGGGAATGTTATTGGCAATCATTAATTCAGAGGGAGAATCCGTGCGACGAAATTTTGAAAAAATGAACCTGGCAGCTTTCCTCTGAATATTTTCCAATTTATCGATGTTATTTTTAGTATATGGGTACAATACTACAGCAGCATACTCAAATTTTGGTCTAACGTATGAATGGTAGCAAAGAAGTTTAACACTTGGAGGCGAATTACGAAGTTTGTGTCTCAAGAAACACAGTTTTCGAAAAGCGGAGGAGCAGATGTTTTCTATGTGCAAGTTCCAGGAAAGATTACTAGTGAACGTTACGCCTAAGTATTTGAAGCTGTTGACTTGGTTCACCGCGCATGATCCCAGTGTGTACTGAAATTGGAATGGAGATTTTTTGCGCGTTATGCGGAGGGAAACCGTTTTCTCTGCGTTGACAACCATGCCCCAATCCCTGCACCAACTGTATATATTGTCCAGGTTTGTGTTAGGTTCTACTTGATCTTGCATGCTGGAGAGTTCACGGAATAAAATACAGTCATCTGCAAACAGCTGGACATGAGTGGTGGGTGTAACTACAGTGACGATATCATTGATGTATACCGGAAAAAGCAACGGCCCCAGAACACTACCTTGAGGCACTCCGGATGTGACAGGAAGACAGCTCGAGGCATGACCATCAATCAAGACATACTGCTCTCTATTCATCAGATAAATAAAATAATAAATAAAATAAAATAAAATAAAATACGTGAGGCTGCTTTCGAGTGTTGGTACGTTAAAATTCGATATTTTGAAGTTCTCAAAAGGTCATTTCACAATGGTAATAACTTCCCAACATCACAAAATCAACCGAGTGGTGTAGTTGCTTTGTTAAATTGACCTTAAACTGTACTCAGCGTGATAAAAATAAGATATTTGGTTCCAGCACGAGTGAAAAATTGAAAGCCGCACCACGGGGTTTTTTCACAGGAGCCAGAAGCCCTAAGGTTCCAAGAAAAATACATTTGAGGGAAATAATTGCTTTCAATGTAAATTTATTTGTAAGCAATGTGCCGTTGTTTTTATGACTTTGAAGTGACTTAAAGGTTACTTTTTTATTTAGTGCTCTTTTTTTCCGAGGCAATGATATATTTCATACGTATCTTTCTTGTCTTGCAGTTCCTGCGCTGATTGCACCAGTTTTCTCGAGAATGTGAAACGACTATCAAATGCAGTAAAACGAATTTTGGCATCCTACCGTCAAGATTTGAATCAAAATAAAACAAACTTCAGGGCTGAACCTAAACTTTGGCTGTCTCCAATTCTTTTTTTTATTCAGAAGTGGTACAGGGGCAGGAGACCTTCACCTAACGGAATGATTCTCCTGCGACGTTGTGCTTGATGCTATACTTCGTTTTTGATGCTATACTTGCGTTATTGAATCATATAGAAAATTCACATGGCGTTAGTAATAGAACTAGAAGTGATTTCGAGATGGCATTTTTTAGATAATGATATTGTTACCACATGTGTAATTTAGGTATGTGCACCTGTGTAGCGGGGAACATGGTGGTAGCAGAAGAAGAGGACGTTCGGTTCGTGGCAAGAGCTCGCTGCTTCGCGTTCACTGCGGTATACCGTCGAGTCGACCGTTACGTCTGCTTCGAATAAACCCCTCGTAGGCGTAACAGAGTGGTAGAGGTGCTGGGTACGACACGTCGACGTACCACGGAGCCACAGCTGTTCGGAGTTCGCCGGAGCCGTCGTCTTGCCGGTCTGCCGCCGACAACAGTCGTCATGACCCAGAGCGAAGGTCAGGAATCAACCGCCTCGACTTCGCGTCAATCTACACTGACTACACCTCGGCATCACTACATGGAACCCCGCCCGTTCGCGGGAATGGCAGGAGAAGATGTGGACGCGTGGCTAACGCACTACAAAAGGGTGAGCCGGTACAATCACTGGAACTCTATCGATCAGCTGGAAAACGTCGCGCTGTTTCTCACGGACACTGCACTGATGTGGTATGAAAACCACGAAGAGTCCTTGACAACATGGGCTCTTTTTGCTCAAGAACTCAAGAAGTGTTTTGGTGACTCCGACTCAAAAAAGAAAAGCGCGGAGCGGACTCTTGCTGGAAGAGCCCAGACTCCTGGAGAAAACTGCACTGCTTATATAGAGGACGTCCTTAAGCTTTGCAAGATTATAAACCCGCAGATGTCCGAAGAAGACAGGGTCGGACACCTATTGAAAGGCATAGCGGAAGACGTTTACAATTTTCTGATAGGCAGGGATGACCTCACCTCTGCCTCCGACGTCCAACGCCAATGCCGCACGTTTGAAAAATTGAAGACTCGTCGCATCGCCCCGAAATTTGGTAGGCTGGCAAATGTGACAACGGTTGCCAGCGTCGACGTGAGCCCGCCCACCGACCTTGCGGCTATTATTCGGGCAATTGTGCGTGAAGAGCTGCAGCGACAAGGTGGTAGGATCGACGAAACCATTCCTCATCCACCTACCGATCTACCCTACTACACGGCGGCACCATCAGCTACTTTGCCACCATCGGTATGTGTGGCAGACATCAGCGAAATTGCAAATCCGAGGCCACGTCGTGACTCATTCACGGCCGACCAGCGATATGGCCAACGCCTTCGGCACGGCCCCGCCACACAGAGGTGGGCAGCCCCCGCTTAGCAAGCTCGTCACCGACCCTTCACAGCTGAGCGGTCTCAGCATTGGTTCAGCGAGCGTCCTCTACCAGTCTGCTACAACTGTGGCTTCGAAGGACACATTGCCAGGTATTGCAACTACCGGCAGCCACCAAGGTACGACCGATCACCAAGATTTAACCGTTCTGGCCTTACCCGAGCACCGACATTCCCGGGAAGCGCGTCTTACGAGATCCCAGGACCGCTACGAAACCAATCTCCGGCCTCTGACCGCAGTGTGACACCACCACCTGCCCCTCGTGCCAACCGATCACCGTCTCCTCGGCGCCGCCACTCCTCGCCTCTTACGGAAAACTAGCCGGCGCGGCCGTTGGAGGTGAGGTCGCCGGACATTCCTCGATTTCAACAGATATACCTCCGTTAGCTTCCATGCTTAGAAATAAGGTTCGAGTGCTTATCGATGGTGTACCGACGATGGCGTTGGTGGACACAGGTACAAGCGTGTCAGTGATGAGTTTAGTTTTCACCCGCCTTCTTGGACGAAAGGTTATGTTTCGTTGGGATCGTCCTGATACGTTTCGTGGAGTGAGCGGAGAGGTGTTACAACCTGTTGGTGTCTGCACTGTGACTGTTAGTTTGGCATGCCAGAACTTTGTCGCGGAGTTTGCTGTTCTCCCTCATACTACGCACGACGTCATTCTGGGACTCGATTTCTTGAAGCTATGTGGTGCTACTGTTGATTGCCGCACAGGACAAATTACAGTAGATTCTGATATCCCAGTTTCGTTTATGGAAAACTCGCCCTCTCAAGAAAGTGCTCTTTGCGTGTCTGTGGACACAACTGTGCCGCCGTTGTCTGCAAAATGTGTCCCTGTTGCCTGTTCACCTGCAAGCGAGAAAACATTTGACGCAACTGTGGAGCCCGTGCATCTCAGTTGCATAAAGAAGACAGTTTTAATACCCTACTGTACATTATCGGTTGCGCAAGGGCATACTGGTTTATGGGCGATTAACTGCTCTAATGAACCTACAGTGCTGCCGAAGGGTCTGAAACCTGCAGAGATTCGTGAACACCAAGTATTGTCGCTTGCCACCCTCGCAGAAAGCAATGGTTCCCCGGATAAGACCCGTTGCGATAATCTGCACGCCAGGGACGCCACCATTATGGCTATGATTGATAAGTCACTCAGCACCAAGGAACGTAATGAACTGGCGACTATTCTGCACAAACATGCTGGTATTCTTGATTTCGCACAGCAAGATTCACCGTCATTCCCTGCTTCTCGTATAAAGCACCGAATCGACACGACATCTCACAGACCTCTCCGACAGAAACCATATCGTGTATCACCTTCCGAACGCGCAGTGATCAATGAACAGGTTTGCGAGATGCTCAAGCAAAATGTAATTCAAGAATCATGTAGTCCGTGGGCCGCTCCAGTAATTCTAGTGAAGAAGAAAGATGGGACATGGCAATTTTGTGTTGATTACCGCCGTCTCAACGCCATCACTAAAAAAGACGTATACCCACTCCCGCGGATTGATGATGCTATCGACTGTCTATCATCGGCCTCTTACTTTTCGTCTGTGGATCTGAGGTCAGGCTACTGGCAGATTCCAATGCACGAGGAAGACAAGGAGAAGACGGCATTTGTTACAACAGACGGACTATTTGAATTCAATGTGATGCCTTTCGGACTCTGCAACGCGCCCGCAACTTTTGAGCGATTTATGGACAACATTCTACGTGGATTGAAGTGGGAAGTGTGTATGTGTTACTTGGAAGACGTTGTAATTTTTGGGCGCACCTTTTGTGAGCACAACACACGCCTTGGTCTCGTACTGGACTGTCTAAGCAAAGCACGCTTGGTGCTGAACTCAAAGAAATGTCGTTTTGGAGAGCGCCAAACACTCGCCCTTGGACACTTAGTAAACAAAGAAGGCATAAGACCGGATCCCGCCAAGACGGCCGCAGTGGAGGCATTTAAGCAGCCAAGCTCGGTGAAAGAACTGCGAAGCTTTTTGGGGCTTTGTTCATACTTTCGCCGATTCATTCCTGGCTTTGCCAATATCGCATACCCGCTCACGTGTCTGCTTCAGAAATGTGCGCAGTTTGACTGGACCCCGGAATGCGAGTCTGCTTTTTCGGAGTTGAAGTTTATTTTGACGTCCCATCCGATTCTTCGCCACTTCAATCCTCTCGCTCCCACTGAGATTCACACAGACGCCAGTGGTATTGGTGTAGGTGCTGTCCTGGTTCAACGCTTGGATAATCAAGAACACGTCGTAGCGTATGCAAGTCGCTCGCTCAGCAAGTCCGAGCGTAACTACACTGTCACAGAGCAAGAATGCCTTGCAGTAGTCTTTGCAGTGCAGCGCTTCCGGTCCTACCTGTACGGACGCCCCTTTACCGTCGTGACAGACCATCATTCTCTCTGCTGGTTGGTCAACCTGCGTGACCCGTCTGGTCGGCTGGCGCGCTGGGCACTTCGTCTACAAGAATATGACTTCACGGTTTCCTATAAAAGCGGCCGACGTCACGCTGACGCAGATTGTCTTTCGCGACTGCCGCTTCCAACGATTGAATGTGACGCGGACACCTTCGATACCTACATTGCATCACTCGACCACCCATTTCCCGATAACAAGACCATTAAGGATGAGCAACAAAGGAACAGCACCGTACAACAGCTTCTTGCTACCAAACCAAAATCATCGCCTACGCGCTTCTGCATCCGAGACGGGCTAGTGTACAAAAAGAGCTACACCAACACCGGCTCACGATATCTTCTGGTTGTTCCGAAGAGTCTTCGCGTTTATGTTTTGCAGGCTATGCATGATGACCCAACATCCGGTCATCTAGGCACAGCGAAAACTCTGTGCCGTCTTCAAGAAAGATTCTACTGGCCCAAAATGCGCCAGACGACGGAACAATACGTGTCTAGCTGTAACGAGTGTCAACGTCATAAGCGCCCAACAAGTGCTCCTTTAGGGAGATTACATCCGGTGCCGCCCCCTAGAGCTCCATTCGAACAAGTCGGGATTGACCTCCTTGGACCCTTTCCCCGGTCGTCTGATGGAAATCGCTGGATAGTCGTTTGCACCGACCATTTAACACGGTACTGCGAGACAGCTGCCATACCATCGGCAACTGCAGCCGATGTGTCTTCCTTCATGCTACGTTTTGTAATTCTTCGACATGGACCTCCCAAAATCGTAATCAGTGACCGTGGCCGACAATTCACAGCAGACGTGATGGAAGAGATGCTTCGTGTCTGTGCTTCAAGGTTTCGGCACTCTACGCCATACCATCCCCAAACGAACGGTCTAACTGAACGAACGAACAGAACTCTCTCGAACATGCTGTCTATGTATGTTGCATCCGATCATAAGGACTGGGACAGTATTCTACCCTTTATCACATATGCATTCAACACCGCTCAGCATGAAACTACCGGCTACAGTCCTTTCTTCCTTCTATATGCTCGACCACCTCGTCATACCCTGAATACCATCTTCCCGTGTTTGGACCACCGTGATCCCTGCATATCCGAGATCATCTGTCGGGCAGAAGAAGCTAGACGCCTTGCTTTTTTGCGCACTCTTGCTTCGCAAGATCGCTCGAAGGCACATTTTGACCGCCGACGCCGACACGTGACGTACAATCGCGGCGACCTAGTGTTGCTGTGGACACCAACTAGAAAACGCGGTTTGAGCGAGAAACTGCTAG